TAAAAAATATCCATTACAGTCCATGTGAGAGTTACCCCAGCCACTATAATGAATGCTGGATTAGGTCCTTTGTGTGTAAAGAGGAAAAAACATCGGTCAGCATAGGAAGAGCATATAAGTAAAATGCATCCTTTCTTGTTAATTTAAGGAAGAAAACTGAAGATTAAACATCACTATGAGGGAACGAGAAGTCCAGCTGGATTTGGAACGGATATGGCCATTGACCAGCATTAGAGACAAGTCCTAGGGAAGTGCTTGGTGTCTGCAGCAATGTCAAGACCTGCCCTGCTGCTCACTCAGTTCCCAGCAAACACCCTTTAAAAGTACTGGCACAAACAATTACACAATGACAAGCACCTCCCTCTAACTAAAATTTATTGCTGTTTTTTAAAGCTTTTTACTACCATGTAGTGTGGAGGCAAACACCTTTTAGAAGGCTGGTCACAAGGTGTGACTCAGTACATGACCGTGACAGTGAGACCTACGGGAAATGCTGCAATAACGAGATTCATTGCTGCTGTGTTACATAAATGCTGTAAATGTGGAAAGAAAAGGGCGTCAAAATCCTTTCTTCATGTAGCCCAATTCAGCACTGTGAGGTTTCAACAGTACGCAAAAGGCCTCTCATTTTTCCAGTGCATCTGGCAAGGCTGGCCAGAGACAGCAGCAGTGTATGGCTGACACAGGAAGGCTGCATGTACGAGCGTCCCTTTTGAATGGTCCCTCAAATCTACATGTTGGTGCTCTGTTCACTGGGACTAACTCTCCTAGGCTTACTACCAGAGGTATTTCTGTGGGCGAAGGGCTTTTGTTACCACAACTGGCAGAGCACCATAGTAGCAAACACGTGCCTTCCACATCTTCTCCTGTCAAGCAACAGAATTAGCATTTTTTCCAAAGGTAATCAAAAATACACCCACAAAACTGCCTACGGGCCCTTGCTTACTTCTCCCCCAGCTTTCCACAGCTGCCAGGAGCAACAGAAAATTTCTGTGCAGTGTTGGTGTAGTTTTTCTTCCTTTCCTCACATCTGGCTGAACAACTTGCATCCTCCTTAGAAGAAACATACCACTTCTATCTTGTCCTCTTGGATAGTGGTTTAAAAACTTCCCTTGGCAAAAACATCCAGTGTGCTCGAAATTTGAAATCTGGGGTAGCTAGAAGTAGTCTAAATAGTCTAAGATGCATTTATTTGGGTATCCTATGGGAACTAAGATACTGAACAGACAGGCATCTGCACTTAAAAATAGTCTTGAGGGCACGAGGCCCTTCTCACATCTGACAAGAGCCATAAGCCCCACTCCACTGCCAGAAGGTGTTTAGTTTACAGAAGACAAAGAGGAAGCAGGCAAAGAGGATCCTGGTGGCAGCTTTAACAGAGGTAAGCTGTACAGAAACAGGTCACATACCTGCTGTGGTTGGATGAGCCCATTGCTGCTGGAATGTGTTAGTAAACAACTGCAGTAAAATAATTACCATAAACTAGCAAAGCACACTGCAGTGTACCCCACCCCTTCCACCCAGAAACGCTGCAGTGTGGGACGTGGCAGGGCTGGTGGAAACCTGAGGATCTGAATCACCTAGAGCTGCATCTGCTGGCTCCACGAGGATTTCCTGGTTCACATGTGGGAAAGCACCCGCACTCACCCTGGTGGTGACTTTTGCCTAAATCGTTTCCTGTTTGCTGAGCGGGACCTCCTACAACACCCAGAGAAGGTACTGCGAGTCAGAAGAGACCTTTTTCCACCTCCTATGGACTATGTACTGGCACCATGACTCCTGTCTTATCAAAGCTAAAAAGAAAGTCAGCCTGCAATGGATAAATTCTCATAAGAAATTTTCCAACATTTACCTGCTTTGGCAGAGAGAAAATTTCAGTGCAGTAAAAGTCTCTGCTTTGGAAAAGGCCAAGTTTTGCAGTCCTCAGTCAGAAAATCCTGCTGGGTTTATTGAGACTTTCATTCCAGATACAGCATTAAGAAGAATTCAAAGATCGTTGAGAAATTGAAAGTAATTGCTTGCAAACTTTTGTGTGATCTCAATAAGGAATAGTACTCTCTCATTTCCACTCAAATCCCTTGAAATTTGCTGTGAGATACAGACCAGGAGTTTTGTTCATATAGTCCATGTTACTCTTTAAATGGAGGGATTGACCTGCAGTGTGAGTTGGTATTTCCTACTTTGTACTTGGCACACACAGCCACGTTTCCCAGTCTTCAAAATAACCAAGCAGTTAAACATATCTGCCTATAAGCATGTGTATAAATTCTTCAGTAGCTGAGAAAATGCTGGTATGTGGTTAAATCCTACCATCATTGCTGGGACACTCTTCCTTTTTACTCAGCTGCTTTAGTAAAGAGGGACGGATCCCAGTGCTCACCTATATGCCTTGGATTTAGACTTAACATGAATCCCAGCTTCCCCTTTGCTTCTGTAATACAGACAAAACCCTCCTCCATACCATGGGAAAGGCAGTCTTTTCTGTCCCAGGCACTCTCAAAAACAGGCAACTGACTGGCACAGAAAGACCCTGCCAATGTCCTCTCTGAAGGATCCTATAGCACAGCAGAGTCAAACCCTGAGATCACATCATACAATGGATCCTGTGCAGCTAAGATATCAGCTGCTAATGAAAGGAAGAACATCATTTATGGACTGGAAACACAAATCAGTATGGAAAGGAACAGCTAGTTCTTCTGCCTTACCTGTTACACTATTTTGGCTACTTAACTAGAGTTTTCCTTAAATACAGCTCCTTAGGCAGCTGCAGTTCCCATGAGCATCCATTCATTTCTTCCCTAAAGTTCAGATGAACAGGTGTACTAACACCTGCAAGGTTGATTATGGATCAGACAAGCATGAAGCTGCATGTGCGGTCACCAAAAGATCATGTAAGTGCAAAGGGTAAGGATACTGCCCTAGGCATCCATGAAGATTTTTTAATTTTTTTGCAAGCTCACACTACTGTTTCTACATAGTAGATAAGGGGTGAGGTATAAAAAGACACTGTGCTTGTATGCTATGGCTGGTGCACCTAACTGTGTCTTCAAAGCACATTTGTGGTGTCTCTCCTGTCTTGCAGTTTTGAGGAAACAGAAACCTCTTAGCCTTCACAGCTAATAGATGCCTAGTGCTAGCTCCCCTTCCACTGGGTAGCTGTTGCTCACTTTTGATAAAGAGCACAACAGCCAGAAAGGATCTGAAAACTCACACCATCTGTATAACACAAGTACCTGCTCCCTGGTGGAGGGCTCCTAATCACCTCAGGTTTGCCTCTGGCGAGCGACCACACAACATATCTGAACTGCTGTTCGTACTTGAGGTTAGGCACTTTGGAGGATGCATCCCATGGTCCTTAGTGCTTCAGTGAGTTGAGCTACATTCTGAACTTGTAGGCACTATTTTTCAAGCATGGTGGGGAGAAGAGAATATCAGTGGGTATTTGCTCTTCAGTGAAACTAACTTATGTACTCACTAGAGAGATGGTGGGTTAGTGGCTAAGGAATTGTGCTATTTGTTATTCTCATACAAGCACAGTCACATTAAGGGGAAGGATCTGTATCTGGATGGGTTTGGATGTCAGGTTAACACTGCATTACAGATAAGCAGTGCATATACTTCATTATACTTCCTTACACTTCCTGCAACCCCACGAACAAATCCAGCCTCAGCAGAGAATGAATTCAGGGAAGGACTTGGGGGTGTTGATCAACAAGAAGCTCAACATGACCCAGCAATGTGCACTTGCAGCCCAGAAAGCCAACCACAACCTGGGCTTCATCAAAAGCAAGTCAAGGGAGGTGATTCTCCCCCTCTGCTCTCAGGAGACCTCACCTGCAGCACTGTGAGGGTTCAGCTGCAGGGTCCTATAGAGAGATGATCTTTAATGTCCCTTCCAACCCAAATTATACGATTCTGTGATTAGTAAGATCTCTTTCAACACCTAGCTCAGAATACAGCCCATTACTGTTGAATTTTATCTTTGGTGAGAAATATAATAACTCACATTCTTCAGCTTTTGCCAAAACGAGTAATATGAATTAACATGCCTAGGTGAGGAAATCTGCCTGGTATGAATCATTCAAAACTATGATGAAAGCAAGCAGAACACTTCAATATAAGCGATATTTGTTCCACTAGGATCGAAAACATACTATTTTTCTCTCCCTTGAATACAACTGATTGCAGCGAGCCTTATTTTCCACAGTACTGAAAGCCTCCACAACTCCTACAGAAGTCAAGATGGGCTGGTGAGGTTTGAAAACTATGTCCCGCCTGTAGTGCCCAGAATTCAGGTTCCACTGCCAACTAGGGCTATAGCATTATTGCTACTTCCCAGATTCTAAGGAGCATGCTGAATTCACAGCCCTGTGAGCAATTATTTAACATTATATTGCTGTTTCTAAATCCCTGCAGAGAAACAGAGCCCCATAAGTTCCTATACAGAAGCGCTATGATGATGTACAGTGGCATCACTTCTGAGCTATGCTGGTTGGCAAAACAGCATACTCGTACTCTTTCTTATATATGGAAAGTTTTCAAAGCAGCGCATAAGATCAACTTTGTCTTTTTTCAGTTAAAATTGTAGTGGTATGACTAACTTTCCCATACTCCTTGGAATCAATCAGCTCATGAATTCAGTTTACATTGACAGGCACCAGACTTCACCAAGGACCCAGCATTTTAAACAATTTCTACCAGTAAGAAGGTTAGGGCCAGAGGACAAGCCAGCTTCCCTGTTGTATATGAAGCAGAAAGCAATGCAGCAATGTAAAAGGGAGTGGACAAACTTGCCCTACCAAGAGCAGTTGCACTTTGCAAAGTAAATCTTTGCCTAAAGGTTGGCTAAGAAGACAAGCACAGTCAACAGAAAACAAGATCTGTAAACAAAATGCTCTTTAGTGGTATTCAGTGAAGAGTGCTAGGCACAGTTCATCTGCCTATACTGATCCATGCTTGCCATGTAGCGTAAAGTGAGTGAAGAAGCAGCACAGAACCAATCTGGAGTACATGTATTAACTTCCACCTGGGTCTTTCAGTGATGTGCACCTTGAGCCATTCCCTCTTCCTCCTCCTCCTTCCTTCTGCTGCTTAGGGAGTGCAACGATTCCTCAGGGCAGCAATGCTTGGCATGAAGTTCAAAGTCCTTCCTGTTAAATGGGAAGAGTAAGACTGATATGGGCTGAACTGCCCAGGAGACAGATTGTACCTGGGGATCAAGGGCCACAGAATTGTGTCAATCTTCCACTCCCTTTCCACTCCCTGCTAAAAATAGTCTCTTCTTCTGGTTTCATCACTAATGAAGGATGGATTGTATTGTCCAGGGTAGATGCATGAATGTCGAGATCCAGGCAAACCAGTGTAGGGAGGATAAAGTCCATTTCTTTCCAGTTCAGGATTTCTCAGTCCAGTTGGCTGGATTAGCAAAAAAATGAAATAAGAAGGGTCTTATTTGCACACTCAAATCCTCCTTCAGACACAGCCTTACCAAGTTTCCCAGCAGTTATTTGAGTAGCTAGAAGGAACAACACGATTACTAATGACCTCTATAACCTGGAATGATTTTTAATGTGGGAGCTATGCATTGCCCGAAGGAGTTTTTCTGATGCAATCTAGATTCAACACCTTGCCAATTAGCAGATTTGAAGTTTACCTTACTCCATCAAATGCAGTCTAAGTGCACAGTTAATTTTTAATCCAAGGATTGTGCTGATGAGATCAGGTATGGAAACAACTCATCAAAAGGATATTGTCCCAAGGGCCATCCTTGAGGTAAACACTTCTAGAAAATCAAAGTTAGTCATCTGTTTTGAGTATTACCTGGGAGCACTTCTCTCCCCAGTAACCATAGGTACCTACTCTCCCAACACAGGGGCTTGGATTGTATGTCAAAGTGATCTGACCTCCCTTTCTCTTCCCTTCTCTTACTTAAGTAAATCTCCTGGGGACACATGGTTAAGGAACTTTGATGTCTAAGACCAAGACTGTACAATTCTTTCACCTAGTAAGTAACATCAAGCCACCTGGCTTGATCTGGTATGGAGAAGATCCATACAAAACCCTGATCACCTACCACTTTCTGAAAAGCTCCCCTTTCTAGTCACCAGCAGAAAAAAAAGTCTTTAAAAATGTTTAAGAAATGTGTTTTTATTTCCAAATCTCCCATTCTTACTGGAAGCAAGAAGGAGAAATATTTCCATTCAGGCTGTGAAATCCAGTAAACTTGCTTACTGGAAAACTTAAAATACAAGCCAGAAAAAAGGTATTGATTGCTGCTTTCTGCTCTGGAAAGCCAAAGTCCAGAATGTGTGAGTTGTGTGAAATCCTGCAACCTTCACTCACATGAGTAACCCACACACACCTTAAGTACTTCCAGTATGTTGCTGCAGATTAGTGACAGATGATATAAAAGCATCACAGCTCTGAATACAGACATTAGCAGATGGTACCAACTATGACAGCAGGTGTTATGCTTGTGATTTTCTGTGTCCTACACAGCCTATTACTCCTCCACTACTTCTTTCCTGCCACTTCAGAGCTTGAAGGGATGCTCCTTAAACACCCTTTCTGCTGCAGGAAATTGCCTGCACACTGGAGAAAGGAAAAGTGGAAAAAAAAGAGGGGTCCTCAGTGACCAGGATCTTCCCATATTGGGATGAAGTCCCAGAGGCAGAGGTCACAACTTTTCAGCATCATCAGTGAGGGTAGACGTGAAAAAAATACCCACAAGGATACCTAGCAGTCTGCCCAAAACCTTTAACTGTCTTTCTCTAGTATTGGGCTTTTGGGGCATCTACCAAAATGCTCCTAGACATTTCCCTAGCACTCTTCCTAATGACATCTCATCAGGAATGTGTCTTTGCTGTGTCAGGCACAAAGGGTTAATAGTTAAGCTATGGTGTGATACCGAATAATATACATCTGTCATCTGCAACAGGTTCTTGGTGCTCCCATTCTCCTGCATCTCGATCGTCTCTCTGCCCCACTCCTGTGCCCGGGGATTCTTCGGATATTCAGCATACGGTGACATCTGGAAATCCCCACTCTTGAAAATGAGTTTACTTATGTCATTTTTATTCTTCCTGTTTATAAAAGAATGAAGGAAAATGAAAACATACAACTTATCCTGCTATCTTGCATGCTTTTCTGACATGATCTCAGAAGATTTACTTCTGTAATGAACCTTGACTGGGAACAAAGATCACTTCAGAAGGGCTGTAGTCCAATCTTCTATTCCAAGGCAAAATTAGATAGGAGGTCAGATTGTGCTACTCAGGGCATTAGCAGGTGGGATTTGAAATTTCCAAGGATATAGATGGCATATCCTCTCTGAGCAAGTTGTTCCACTGCTTCACTGTCCTCCTGGTGAAAAAGGTTTTTCCTACATCCAGTCTGAACCTCTCCTGCTCCCACTCATGCCTGTTGTCTATTATAAATGTGTGTGTCCACCTGGGTCAATTAAAAAGTAATGGAAATCTAGGAAGAAAGAAAAACATATGGAAGCCCCCATGGCGTTCAAGTCTCCAAGTGCTCAAGTATAGCACTTCTAGGCACTATGTCACTGTCAGTTCCTCAGAAGGAAAACCTAAATGGGGCTGGACTGAATGACACCAAATGTTCCTAACATGACTATCATGTATGAGTGGACTTTGGCGACACTTCCAGTTCAAATCAGAGTACCCTCCAGGAAGTCACATAACCTGCCGAAGGCCAGGACTCATGAGATCAATCCATCCCTGCAGGGATCTGGCCATCACACCCTCCTGGCTGAGGCTTGCTGATCACCCTAGCTCAAAACATGAGGGAACAAGCATATACCACTGTGCCAACCAATTTACTGCCACATCTGTGTTACTGATAAACCCAGTTGACAACTTTAATCAGAGAGCTTTGAAATCCTAGATTTGGGAGCTGGAATGAAAGGGAGAGGGTGTTACTTCAAGGAAGCCCTTTTCATGATATATAAATCATGAAGCAGAGCTTCCTTGGCAGGCTTCTAGTCTGAATCTTGCTTCTAGTCCGAATCTACCTGCTGCTATGGGAGCTACATGTGTACACACATGTGTGTGTTTGAGAGGGAGACACACAGAGTAAGAGCACATGCAGGACTTGTCCATAAAGGAAAATGAAAATAGTTTTAAATACACTCAAATACCACTTCAGCAATGGCCAGTAACCCCTCCTGTTGACTAAACTTCTCTTTTCTAGTTAGCTTGCATTTTTGGAGACTTATAGCTGCCTTACAGCTCTGACAGGGAAGGACTCTTTTGAATCTCTATCCTTAGACAATGTGACTGTCAGGCACATCCTCAAGAGACACACAGTTCAATTTTTTTAGCCTGGTTGGTGGAAAGCAGAAATATACGTCCCAAATGAAAGCACAGTGCGATACTTCAGTATCTGATTAATCCACTTGCTTAGCTATCCTGTGTTTTGGTCCATCAGGGTTCATGTGTAGAGCATTAAGTGTGATGTAACCCACTGAGAAGATGCCACGGATGAGCCGGGGCTTCTGGTCATACCTACCGGCAGCAGGTGATGATAAGTGCTATGCCCATGATAAGCAGAAGTCCGCCTCCTGCAGCTGCAATCACCACGGTGATAAGCTGATATGCTACAGACAAGAAAGACAGAGACTCACTTAGAAACAGCAATGTAGCTGTAAATTCTACTGTAAACATATCCAAGGTCCTCATGCAAAGGACCTGTTTATTTCCCATCTTTCCTCCCTCTGTAAGCAATATTGCCTTAAATTTCTGAGTGAAATGGATGGAGTTGGGATCTCCTGCTAAAGGGAAAACAAGGTCATGTTTCCCTAGAGGACAGATTGCCTTTACTAATAGATCAGAATAATTTAAACGATATTTCATGGATTAACCTCTGAATACCTTGTTTCAAGAGGGGGGCTGGACCAGATGACCACTGAAGGTCTCTTCCAACCCAGACTATCCTACAATACTAAGAGTGTCTTCTATACATGCTATCATGACAGAGTATCCAGAGAAAAGGACATCTTCCCTTAGAAGATAACACTGACAACTTTGACAAAGAAGGTCAACAAAATAATTCTCAGCAGAAAATGAAGAAACCAAAAAACCTGACAAGAGTATCATGTACCTACTGCATTTTGGACACAGTCACCTGCAATTACTTGCTTCAAATCTCCCATTTCTGACACTGTAGAAATTCAAAGAAACAAAATTTGGTACTTACGGTTTCCACAGTTGAATCCACCTAAGCCAAATGGGCAGCTGGTAACAGAACACAACATGGAGTTTCAGTGGCTTAGTTGTGACAACAGGTCACCAAAACAATATTCAAAAGGACGTGGACTAGGAGGAGGGAACAGTCATCATACCTCACGCAGGTCTCATTTTCCAGCTTATATCCATCTTCACAAGCTAAAAACACAGAAAAGGGCCATGAGCACCACATAGTGGTGCAGGGAAGGCATTTCCCACCGCCGCTTCCCACGGCAGCCTCATCCCGATCAACCCTGGGGCTGACATGCCGGTCTGCGCTGCTGGCACAGAAGGACGTGATGCAGTATCTGCTCTGGTTTAGGCAAAACACCGTGCACTTAAATTCACCTCACGCTGGCTTTGACAGGACCATTTCAGGACTTCCTGGCAGAGCTAGCCCAGAGCCTGGCTCAGGGTAGGCGGCAGGTAACCTAATGCCGAGCACAACACAACCCCTTCTTGCCCAAATGGAAACCCATGCACACTTGTACTGTTTCCCACAAAAGAGCAGTGTAAAATATCTGCAAGTTCCTCCAGTTTTTGTTTTGAAACTTAGTTTGAACAGTGCTATTTTGGAACTGATGTGTGTTATTAATTAAAGTTAAATGTTAGTATTGCAAAAAATGTTATGCAAACACAGTTAGGGTAACCTGAAGTGTTATGTTTTGCCTCATGCCACCTTTTTTCCTGTTGTTCAAATTTGCAGCTAAATCAAATTTTGAAATGTAATATTTTACTATAGAAGGGAAATAATAGGTACTATGCCTAAATAAGCCAGAAAACTGCTATGTACAAAATGCTAGCAAAAACCTAAAACCATCATTTCAAAATAAAATCATTTCTGTGCTTACAGAGAGCTATCTCATCACCTGAATTACGTGAGAAAATTATGCTACCCTTCTGATGAACACTAAAAGTGATGATAATGTTGGACATACATTTATAAGGACTCCTGCAGATCTGCTGCCTTTCACAGAGGCAGTGGTCACTCAAAGACCTGAGTAGGAATCACACAGACAGGGTCACTTTGGGTAGAGGGACAAGCCAGGGCTAGCACATGCAGCAGCCCTTGGGGTCTGCAAGACATCACCCAAGCATCTGGGGAAGCCCTGCAGCACACTCCACAGGGAATAAAACCAGATTGCTAACTGAAAACAAAAAGGCTCCTGGACTTTCTGCCTCCCCCCCCCCCCCCCAAAAAAACTTAAAACTGAAGAGGTGGCAGCTCTCAACACTGCCTGCCTTGCTCTCTAACTGTAGGGAAAACCCAAAGCCAAAATCTCAGGCACCCCAGCAAGTGTGAGGAAATCTGTGGGGAGAAGAGGGGGCTTCCAGGAGAGGTCTCAGCTAAGCAGCAAAGCCCTCACCTCCTCCTCTGCTGCTCCCGAATACACACCAAATGCCTTTTCACCTCTGTCACAGACAGCAGCTGTATTTTCAGAAACACTTGACACAGACGGGGAGGAGGAAGAAAAGAAGGACAAACGTGCAACACTGTCCATTAGGATGGGCTGGCAATATCATAGTAAACCAAGAGAGAGCACTCGTATACTGGCTGGATTCAGAAGTTTATGGTTCTTCCAGCACCAATAACAAGTGATACTGATGCCAGCAGGGAGCAATGTGACTGTGAACTCCCCTCATAATACAGGTCACAGAACTTCCCTAAATTTAATTCCAGTTTCAAATCAAATAGTTGAGCTACATTTTAGAGAACCATCCAAGATTGATTCTAATATTTTCAGTTACAGACAACCACAACCCTGGGTCAGATGCTCATGAAGTTAATTTCCCCAGTCATTAAAAACATTCACCTTCTTTCTGGTCTGAATTATACCAGTGTCAAATTCCAGCTTTTGGATGTTTATTTGCTAGACTGGAAAAGGTTACATGATCACATTTCTCCTCCTCACCGTCAAATCACGCCTTTAATACAGCCAAGTACACAGAGATCTCTGACTCTCTCTAGTTATTGCAGCTTTTCTCTGAATGCTCCCAGGTTTTCTTGGACCCTTTTGATCACTGATTCCCAGAAACAGATGTTGCAAGCCCAGGGATAACAGAACTTCCACTCTTCTGCCTGTCTGTGCCCCCTAAATGCACCCAGAGACCATATTAGCCTTACAAGCCAGAACTGGGGACCTCTTCTTTACCCACCAGGCCTCCTTCACAGCTTTGCCCCAGTCTCTACTTTCCAGGAGACACAACCCACAGTGTACCTGGCACTCTGCTCTTGATTGCCTTACCTTGCTTGAAGTCATGCTGAAATACTCTTTGCCTACACACCATCAAAGTGTCTCGCATCACTCCTGGTGTGTAGACTCAGATGAGCGATGAATTCGCATCAAGAATATTACTGCTCAAGGCCCAGACTTTGCATGGCAACTGGCACCAACAACGAGGGACTGACATCAATGGCAGCTGGTCTTGCAATCCTTTCTCTGCCCTATATATCCCCAATACTCTTCCACTAACTCTTGCACTCCATATATTCCCCCAGAGCTGGGGATGGGGAGGGTAAGGCTCTTTGTATAGCCCCCTTCTGCATCTCATCATGATACTTTTTGCACTGGATTTATTTTTCTCTCTTTAAGATAGTTTCTTTGAAGTCAAGGAAGAGTTAAGAGCCTCAGCCAGCAGACAACCAGGACAAAGGTAGTAAATCCCAAAGGATCTTTGCCTATCTCATTCATAATATGGAGGTATTAGCAAAATGAGACTGGAAGTGTTGCTCCTTTCACTTGCTAACAAAAGAAGACCAAAACCGTTATGGATCAAATGTTTTACCAAAGCAAGCCACAAGATCAGGCAATAATGAAATCTACACTGAAGGGGAGAGAGGAATCACCTCAACAGCTCAGTGGAGTTTTCTTCCCCAGTGAGTGCAGCAATTGCATGTTCCCCAGCCCCAGCCTGTTGTTTACCCATTGGGAAGGCCTGGAGGAGCCTGCAGGTGGGTGATGGAGCCCAACCTAATCTCTCCCACTCAGTAACATGTGTAGGACGCATACAACTCAAGCGACCTCAAAGCTGGAGTTGTCCCTTGGGCAAGCACAGCCCTGGGACCCCATGGGCACACAGCTCCAGACCAGGAGGCTACAGAGGCAGTAAAGAGGAAAAGCAAGATCCTGAACATGCATATCTCTGTCTTACTTAAATGCTTAGTGCTTATATCTCTTCCTGTCCTCAACCCTGCCTTTTCCTGACACTTTGCTTTCTCCTCTGGCATCTTTCCTGCTCCTTTGAACATGCTCCCAGGAGAGCTCACACTGTCATGCTCGCTCAGCAAGCTTTTAAACATGAGCAGGGAATGGAGGAAAGGTTTAAGTGTCAGGGGCCAAGCAAAGCTATTGGGCTGTGCTTTTTTTTTCTGGATTCCTTTGCCCTTGCCTTCCTGAAAGAGACTCAGGGGTCTCTTTGGAAACCTGCTTTGCTGCTCCTTGCTTCACTTCAGTAACACTCATGCTATTAAAAATAGCATGCTGTTGAAAAGGTGGCACACTGGGTTTGTTGCTCGATTTCTAAAACAGCCCTGAAGATACCAGGAAGGCTGAAAATCATCAATGACCCAGAGGCAGGCGAACTGCACACCAAGAGGTACCACGGCCAACGTGTAGCTCAGAGACACAACTTTTCCCTGGTGGCTTTTCAAGCATGCCCCAGGGGACAGCCACTGCAAGGCAGAGCAGAACAATCCCCGAAGGTCAAGGCGGCTGATCCTCCATGTCCCAGCGCCTCTCCCAGCCACACTCGCCTTCCCACGGGGGAGACCGGACAGGGCAGCACAATAGCCATTTCCCTCTTTGCAAATACTATAATTGGAGTTACTGTGCCACATTTTCATGACCCACAATGAGGGTCGGATGCTCAGGAGACCTCAGTTCCTGTTTAGTCACTAAGAGGGCAGAGATTTTCAAAGAAGCCTGCATATTGTATGCTATGTTTATCAGAAAACAGACCTAAATACCAAACAAGTGCCATAGCTTGGCTTTTGAAAAAGCCTTTAAAAATCCCAAACCACCTGGTTTACCCAGATAGGAACAAAGTGATGCTGTAAATCTGGTAACTTGCCAGAGCATGGCATGATGCAGTTGGTGCTACCCTCACACTGCTGCAGCCTAAATTCCGCATCAACCCTGTCCCTCAGACACTCTCAAGCTAGTCAATAAGATGCTTCCTACTGACAGCACCGAGCTGAAGGTGGAACTGAGGCCTCACTATGTGCAGGTAGAGCTTTTTTTATATTTAGCACAACAAAAAATACCTGTAAGTAGGAAGTAACCACATTTTATAAGACGTTAGATCTCTTACCCCTCTGCAACCATCGCATCTGAGTGCCTCACAGCCTTTCAGATATTTATCTTCACAACACTCCTTGACAAGAGACATGGACAAGAAAAATGGAGTAATTTGCCCTTGGGTTCCCACCGTAAATGATGGAGCTAGAATTGAGCAAAGCCTCCCAGATTTCAGCTCAGCTCCCCACTCACTAAGTAAGCCCTTCTCTGCCTTTCAGGGTTCAATGGATATGGTCAGTGTTTCCTAATAGAAATCCTTCTCCCAACATACAAGGAAGGGAGGGAATTAAAACACGAAAGAGAAAGATTTTAGCTAGAGCCATAGGGCAAAGGAAGGTCACCATGGCCTGGAACCCATCTCCATGATGTCCATACCAGAGCCTGCAGTCCATGAATTATTTCCAGGCACATTTTTCTCACTATCTGATCAGATTTGGAATCAGTAAAGCACCTCCTTCCATTTCAACAGCAACCCAGCAGAAACTGCCAGAAGCAATGTATAATCACTACTGCAACCCTTATTGATATGTCATCAGAAAACTGCATTTCTTAAGAAGACCTGCAATAACTGCTGGAACTAGGGATGGACACCCTGATCCTACAGAAGTCATTTTGACCATCAGCACATAGACAAAGACCTTGTTTAAAATATAGCAAAACTAGATTTCATTATCTGAAGAGCAGCTAAAAAATAATATAGTACTTAAGCTTAAAAATTCTATTAGGAACCCACCTGAAAAATAAATTAATAATTTTCAGGTACTTATTTTAAAAATATGGATGATGTCTTAATATAGGCTTTTGAGTTCAAAGCACTTCTACTGAGTTCGCTGAGAGTTCAGACAAAATCAAAACAACCAGAGGCACACGTCATCTCTGCTCTGTGCCACTGAACTGAAGCCCAAAGCAGTCAGGCCCCTTTCTTCCTCTTCAGAATCACTGTGATTCACAGCATGCTCTAGAAAGAGATAATATTATTCCTAGAGAGAGACTGTATCTTCAGTGCCTGCTGAAAAGTCCCCTAACTAAATAAAAGAAACTTGAGCTGCTAATATTTACTCACAATATTGAGCTTCTTGCCTTCATAGTGATACATACACACACAAATGCACTCATTTCTACTGGAATGAAAAGTTTAAGCAAAATTCAGGCAAAACGCACTACAGAAAGAGCCATACCTCTGCAGGAGTGGTCCATCTTGTTGTATTTGAAGTACCCACTTTTGCAGTGGCAGAGAGCAACTCCATCAAAGTCAGTGCATTCAGAAGTTTCCTTGTCACATTCAGGGTCTTTCTGCTTGCACAAGCTGCCAACTGTCAGGAGGAGGCAGCCAACATCAGTGCAGTTCTCTCTAAACCCATCATTACATGCACGTGCTTTCCTGGCATCACATTCAGCTCATGTGTTGCTTTAATCTCCTTTCTTTTTTTTTCTTTTAAATAGTATTTTTTACACCAGGAGACAGTCAACATGACTCTATGCCACCTTTTCTTGCACATCTACCATCATTTGTATGGGCCAATAGAAAGAGAGAATAATAAATGTTTCAGCTTGGAGGCAGAAGGGGAAATGAAAAAGAAAAATTTGGTTTGGCTCAAGCTGGAACACATTCACTCCTGAGATAGTTCAACAAATCAGTTTTTAAGCTTATAGCAAGCAAAACATTTTGCTAAGCCCAAAGCAATTTTTTTTTTCCATTTCAATATTAAGCACTGGATTTTTTTCATTTTTCAAACAAAGAATTTGTCCTTTCATTTACATTACTTCAAAGCAGAGTTTTACTTTAGAAAGTCAGATTTGTTACAACAAGCATTCAGCAAAACTGTGGGTAAACGATGGAAACTGTCACCGAATTTACATTTTTACTGGGAGGTCAGACTAGATGGAATGAAGAAACAAAAAAATATCCATGAGAAATAGGATTTTATGGAATGCACGTCACTCATTTGGCACTCACCTTTTATAAACCTCTCCCTGCTAGATACATCATATTTTTTTTATCTGATGTCTTTTCTTATAAGCACTTACACAAGTACATAATTCGTTCCTTATTCTGCTTATTTCAAGTTAAAAGTAGACTTTAGCAGAAGCATTGTAATCAGAGGTAATGGCTAGATACAGTCTGAGAGGATCTACCAAAATAATTCAGGCAATTCAGTCCTTGGTGGAGTGTGGCTTTAAATCACAGCATGTTAAAAGCACATGCTAAATTTCTCATCTTCATGTTTATTTTGCCAAAACACTCTGTGGGGTTTCCCACTACACCCAGGCTAACTGGTGCTGCTCTTTATCCTCAAAGCCTCAAACCCTGAAGTCAGAGTTCCATGAACAGAAGTTTTGTTGCAGTAGCCTATCTTTAAAGGGTGCTCATTCCTTGCATCCTGATGGTACCTCTCGCAGCTAAATCTCCTCTATCGCTCCCTCAGAAAGCAAGGACCAGGAGGTACAGGGCACAGGGCCAGCACCAACAATGGGGTCCACCTAGAGAAGGTCCTGCACAACACTCACAGAATCATAGAATTAACTGCGTTGGAAAAGACCTTTAAGATCAAGTTCAACTGTTACCCTCGGACTACCAAGTCCACCACTAAACTGTGTCACTGAGGGCCTCATCTACATGTTATTTGAACACTTCCATGGATGGTGATTCCCTGGGCAGCCTGTTCCAATGCCTGAGCACCCTTTCTATAAAGAAATTTTTCCTAATATCCAATTTAAACCTCCCCTGAAACAGCTTGAAGCTGTTACCTCTTGTTACTTGGGAGAAGACCAGCCACCTCCTTTCTCCATCCTCCTTTCACGTAGCTGTGGAGAGTGACAAGGTTCTCCCTGAGCCTTCTCTTCTCGAGTCTAAATGACCCCAGTTCCCTCAGCAATTCCTCTTAAGACTTGGGCTCCAGACCCTTCATCTAATTTGTTTCCCTTCTCTGGACCCTCTCCAGCAACTCAGTATCAATCCTGTAGTGTGGGGCCCAGAACTGAACACAGTATTCGAGATGCAGCCCCACCAGTCCTGAGTACAGGGGGATTATGACTTCCCTAGTCCTGTTGGCCACACTGTTTGTGACAACACTGACGTGTTTCTCAAGTTCTCTGTGCTACACCCACATTCCTCTTTGGCAGGTAAAGGATTTGGTAACAGAAATCAAAAGCTCTTAACTGTGAGTCATCTTTAGACAGGGCATCACTGAAATTGGGTAGGCAGGAGAGCAGAGCTCCCCATACAGCCTCCAGTGGTTTCAATCAACTTCACTGAGAGGGTTTGTCTCTTGGCTTTCACAGTTTCCCTGGCTCCCAGCTGCACAGGTGGAATTAAGACTTACGGTTTTTTGATCTGGCTGGGGCCCAGTGTCACATGCCAAAGATGAAAGGCTGCCCTACAATGCCTTCTGATCCTGTGCTGTGTGATGTTTTCACAGAGAAACAGATTTCTCACACATGTGGCAAAGATAAGGCTCAATATCTGCATCCCTTTCATACCAAGAGGCTCTTAAGATGACTCCCTTTTAAATAAGATAAAAAAGATTCAGAGCGCTTTTTCCAAATGCCAAAATCTTTCTCTTTGTTATAGAAGAAGCCAAATAAAACATCCCTTTCCCTTCCCACCACAGTCCCTCCAGACGCTATTTACCTCTGTGGAGCGGCTTCAGGCTGGAGATGAACTGGCAGGCTTCGGTGGGGGATTTGCAAGCTCGAATGTAGCTTTTCACGCTGCTAACAACGTCATAAAGAGTCACATTGGATGATAAAGAGAATGTGGATTGCACTGAAACATGCACAAAATTCGTCTCCCTAACAGAAAACAAAACAAAACAGCCCTGAGTACCACAGGTCAGTCTGATGTCATTGTTAGCACCTTATACATAGGACTCTTATTAATGCATATTATACATAGGCATAAGCAAGTGATGCTTATCACAGACACAATACTGCATACATACTGGAACAGTCATTCATTGTAACAGACCTTAGAAACAGGACAAACTCACATACAGAGAAGTTAATTTGGGGCTGGAAGGGGTGCTGGTAGCTGATTTTGAAACCACCCATAAATCCCTCCTGGGCAGCTCACAGGCCCATCCCCAGGCCACTCAGTCCAGGAGGGGATACCAGCAGAGCCACGCAAGATGATCAAGCATTCCCCATGCCCTGACTACTGCGAGGTCAGATTGCATCAAGCCCAACACCCACTCAGAATGGGGAATGTGGATCTCAAGTTGAATATCTTGAATGCTTAGGTTTCTCATTCTTCCCCCAGTAGCCTTAGCCTTACCTGGTTGCTTTAACTGTGGAGTGGTGGTACCCTGGTAAGCTGGACAGTGATGCATCAAGCTGCAAGGAAGGAGAGAGCAGATGTTAGCAGCCATGGGAATGAGGAGGGATTCAGCCCCATGGGACACAACACAGGATAGTCCTTCTGCGTCACCAATACCACCCCCTGCATTCACCAGAGCTGTCTGCTGGGGCCAAGGGGGCTCTGAGCATCCCAGCACTTCACCTGCTGGTGATTTTCATAAGAAAAATGTGTCATCCTGTTGCCAGCAAGGGATGGCTGAAGTCACTATTATGCAGTCTTGGACAGGAACAAAGGATTGGGGATTTCAACATGAGCATCTGCCTGGAGCCCTACTATGCAATGACCACGAAGTGGGGCTTCTGAGGATGAGCCAGAAGCTAGTGGGAAGAGAGCCTTGTGCAAGGCCAAGCTCCAAGTGGCACCATCAGAGACTGCACATCTTCCAAGGAGCCTGCTTCCCCCTGGATCCATGTGGCCATTTATTTTCACTCCCCAGCACAAGCCAGGCAGGCAGGCAGCATCAAGGCAACTCACCCCATCTCCCCCCTACTTTGGTGGGATCTCCAAATCACCTACTCCAAAAAAAGTTGGGATGAATTGCAGCCAACCCAGCAACTGCTAACAGGACAAATCCATGCATGCAATGATCTGGCGAAAAAAATGCACAGAGATGTACCTATCCCTAGCCCAGGGTTCTTTTTGGAGCAACTGATGGCATATGGGGAACTAATAGCTCACCCACCACTTGCTCTTAACTGACTGAAAGCCACATGGTTGCGATAGCATGGCTGGGAACTCCACAAAGAGGAAGGTGTATTTGGGTGGGTGCTGCTGTTGAGCTTCATCTCACAGGGTTTGGCTAAAAGCAAGGTGCCACCAGATGCAGTCCAACCTGCCCCAGTACCTGTAAGATACACTGATGACCAATGAAGCCCAGAGTTACTGTTTTAATAATTGATCTTAGAAGAGCACTAATGCCCTTTCAGGGTTTGGAGAAGGCAATGCAGCCAGCGGGCACTAAGAGAGAATGTAGGCTACAGAAGCATGAACCCAGCCACACCACAAAAAGGGCTTCAGGATTTTCTGGGCAGATATGTTGTCTTAAGCCCCATAGCAGTCAGATCTCTCTGCTGCTGCCTTGACAACTAGGGCAGAGAAGGGGAGAGAAGCATGATGGGTTTAAAAGCATGCATCTTGCCAATCCTACTAGCTCCAGACCAGGATGGTTCAATGATTAAAAAGGCTAAATCCACACTACAGAGTCTCATGGCTACCCATGACAAATGTAAAAGGAGCAAAGGGCACCTGTCTCATCAGCATTGCCAAAGTCCTGACAATGACACTCACCATCGTCAGGATCTCATCTTCAACGTGGAGGAGCTCTGCATACTTCCCATGGGTAATATTAACTTTCAGGGGAACCTGGCCAATAAATATTCTTACTAAAAAGAAGAATAAGGCAAGTTAGTCAGAACACACATCTCCATACCATGTGTAACTGTGGTTCATCCACATCTCACATTTACATGACAGCCTGTCTGCATGGAAAAACCCCTCACACAGTGGACAGAAAACTCACGGCTTATAGTCACTGCCCCAGTAAAGCAAATTCCCAGCCTTGGAATTTTTCCCAAGGTTTACTGCAGTGTTCCCACATCCCAAGTCAAACTCCAGAGCTCAGTGCTGTTCAGACAGCATTTCACTGCAGCATTCCTACATTTCATATAGAAACACAGACTAATTTAAAAGGACCCCTGAGCACAGACAGAACTAGGTAAATTTAGCAACAAGACAGCTTTAGGTACCAAAGCTATTTATAATAATTTTGGGTAAACATGTCAAATATCTCACCCATCCCTCCAATGGAAAGAAAGCAAATCAACAAGTCAAAATAAAGCACTGGAAAAAGGGCATTTTCATTTTTCAAATTGTTGGACAGAATGAGCAATGATGTTTGAAAAGAGGTCCAAAAGATGCATTTTTCCATTCTTAGACTGATATTTGATTCATGGCAGCAGAATTCAATAATCCGAGTTGTCCAGACTTGGAGAGATAATACCCCTAAATCTTGTATGAAGTGTCATGAGATACTCAGTGGAAATGAGAACTCAGAGCTCAGAAAAACAGAATACCATTGCAGATAACATTAGAAAGCCTCCAATTCTTTCCCATTTTGACTCATACACAAAGCCTATCTTCAGCACAGATTTTATATCAGACAGCTATAATGTAACAATTCTCGGTAAAAAGAGATGAGAATCACCCTCACAGTGTTTATATAATCTACTCATATCCCAGTTCAAGGCATAACAAAGCAACTCTCTAAATTAGAAGCTGACACATTCCAGCTCAAAGAAATGTTTCAAAACACACTTAAGGGACACCTCACCCATGTTTCCTTAAGCAAAATTTCCATTCCTCTAATCCTTGCTGATTAAGGGTTAGAAGAAACTCCAGCAAAACAAATTCCACTTTACAATGAGACATTGTAAATCCTTGAGATTTAGAGTCCTCTAATAGAAAGGAGGGGGTCAGAACCTGAGTTCCAACTAATAATTGTGTTGCATGAAAAATGCTAAAGGTGCAAAACAAGACCTTGATCTTACAAAGACTTTTCATGGCTGCTTAACTTTCCACACATGGCTGATCCCACTGAAGCCAGGTTACACAATAGCCCATCTCACTTCTCTCAAGCCAAGTGCCATCCCCACTGTTTGCAGGACTTCAAGCTATGAGAAGTTGCTGAACGATTTCTGGGTGGGGGTTGTAAAACACATGAGGAACAGAAGGGGCACATCTGTCCTTAGTAACAAGCCTGTTTTTAAGAAACTCTGAGCCATCACTGTGCCTGCTCCACAACACGACAGCCATTAGACACTGCAAAAAGCTCTTGTTAAACCTGGTGGCTGGGAGCAACATTATGCTCCTGAACTAGTGTGAGCTTCAGTTAATTTATTTTAGAAGATTACAGATAATTACTTCCATCTTTTTCTTCACTGGTTTTTCACTTTTGTTTTCTTACCTAAATTGCACTTTCCTTTTTCCAGCTCATAGCCAAGAGGACACTGACAGATATAAGAGCCATGGGTGTTGTTGCAGGTGGCCAGTGCAGGACAAGGGTTGGAAAGACATTTATCCACGTCTACAAAAGCAGAAAAAAAAACCCAGGTTATGGTTACAGAATCACAAAAATCGACAGCTCAGTTAAAAAAGATCAAGTTGGCTCCTCTTCTGTGACCCCCTGAGCATTATCAGATTCTACATTGCATCATTTGCGCTTACTATTTATCCTGATGGAGATTAATTATTCTGTTGGAGCTGAAAGAATAAACATGAACCACTTTCTCTTGAATATTCATTCAAAAGCCCTTGGGATCCAGTGTTGATCCATGTTAATATGAACACCCAGCTTGTCTACAGCACTGCTCATCTGCAGATCTTGGAGTATTTTCCAAAGACAAACAATTTTACAATTAAGGATGGAGAGACAGTCAGAGACAGACTTTGGACCATGGACTCCTTTTACCAGAGTCCTGCCCTTTTCATCTAAGCCCTGTTTCCATGATCCAAAGCTAGTGCGTGAACACTGATGCAGTTTGTAGGCTACCCAGTAATGGTGGAAGCAGCCTTAGCTGCTGTCACCATCTCTACCAGGGCTGCAGCTTCCTCCATGCCAGGCTGGGGTGGCCACAGCAGCAATACCTGCCTGTGCCATCACTTGTAATGCACTTCCTTCTGAGTGAGCAAGGACTTGGGGAGCACACACCAATTGACAAATAAGGAATATATTCAGCCTGGAAAAGAGAAGGCTGCATGGAGACCTCATAGCAGCCTTCCAGTATCTGAAGGGGGCCTATAGGGATGCTGGGGATGGACTCTTCATTAGGGACTGTAGTGATAGGACAAGGGGTAATGGGTTCAAACTTAAACAGGGGAAGTTTAGTTTGGATATAAGGAAGAAAGTCTTTCCTGTTAGGGTGGTGAGGCACTGGAATAGGTTGCCCAAGGAGGTTGTGAATTCTCCATCCCTGGCAGTGTTCAAGTCCAGGTTGGAAGAGGCCTTGGGTGATATGGTTTAGAGCGAGGTGTCCCTGCCCATGGCAGGGGGGTTGGAACTTGATGATCTTAAGGTCCTTTCCAACCCTAACCATTCTATGATTCTATGATTCTATAATATCAGGGGATTAATGAGTATAGTCTCAGATGCTTCATAGGTGAATCAACTTAAACGCAAATTGGAGAAGACAGCTAATACTTCCCTTTGAAAAAAGCCCACGTCCTGGTCAAAAATGCTCCTCTTGCTGTGCCTGTGACTCACACAAGCACAAACACATCACACACACATGGAAGGGCAGACCATAGGCAGGACTGTGGACTTGCTGGCAACAACGCAGCACAAGACAAGCAAGACAGCTTACACCCCAATTGTAACTATTTTGCGGTTGCTAATGAGGACTGCAGCAGAGGCAAGAAGGATGGGCTTTGCAGTTAAAGCACAAAGCATGAGAGCCAAACCCATGTGTGTATATCTGACAGCACTGTGATCCCCATGGCATCACAGAGGCCCTGCAGACCAGAGTCCTGAGTCAGCCCCTGTGTCAGGACACGCTGTTGGACACAATTTACATGTCTCAACTAGCCTGGCATGGCTACTCCAGCATCAGCAAGGAGAAGATTTGCCTGCTTCTGATCTAAGCAGCCAGAAATGAGTGGACATATTTTAAAATACTGACTTTTCACTTTGCTGTCCTTCAGTTTGTGCTTTGTACCATGCGGACCAAGGCAGCTTCTTCTCTCACAATGGTGAGTACCCATATACAAAGCACTATGTCCAAGGTAGCAGAAGACTCTTTTGCATTCTGGTAAGTGGCAAACCTCAGTACTTAAAGAAAAGAGCAACTTACCTAAAGTGTAAATCTGCTGGTATAAAGGATATGCTACCTTAAATTTTGATTAAAAAAATCCATTCCTCTACAGTTTTTTGGGTTTTTGTTTTGTTTTTTTTTTTTTTTTTGGGGTGGGGGGGGGTGTTTGGTTTTTTTTTTGTTGTTGTTGTTTTTGTTTTTTGGAGGTTTTTTGTTTTTTTTTTGTTTGCATGGAGCTGTAGCTATAATTAAAACCAATTAGCCTGATAAGTAACCTTTAAATACTTAATTATTGGCTGGATTATATACCATTGCCAGTATTTCACTGAGATTAATGCAATTAGCACACACAATATCCTACAGTGGCATAAGGGCCAGGCTTCTGAACTTCAGACACACAGTTGGTTTCTACTCATATAAAACTTTGGTCAATGTATTTACTTGGGAAGATAAGGAGCCTGGCAGCAGTTATAAGTGATTGTAACGATACACTCAGCAAGATGTACACCAAAGGGTAACAGGTTAAAACTTAAACAGGGGAAGTTTAGATTGGATATAAGGAAGAAGTTCTTTCCTGTTAGGGTGGTGAGGCACTGGAATGGGTTGCCCAAGGAAGTTGTGAATGCTCCATCTCTGGCGGTGTTCAAGGCCAGGTTGGACAGAGCCTTGGGTGACCTGGGTTAGTGTGAGGTGTCCCTGCCCATGGCAGGGGGGTTGGAACCAGATGATCTTAAGGTCCTTTCCAACTCTAACTACTCTATGATTCAATGATTCTATGTAGCCTACCAGGAGAAGCAACAGGCCCTTGAGTAGGAGATGATTTAGTGATGTGGGGAGAAAACTATCATAGATCGTAGTAACAGAAGTTCCAACACAAATACCAGGTGCTGGCCAATTGCCTTTTCTCATGAATAAACTAAATATTGATTGATATCAAGCAACATTGCCAACTGATCAACAAATATAAAACGCATCCTACTCTTACCTAAAAGGCCAGTCAGCTTTATTTTCTTAAAATTTTCAAATTTCAGCTTACCATTTATAACAGAAATGTTCACCAGAATGCTCACCCTCTTCCAACAGTTCAGGTTGATTGCTAAACACTTAGTTTAAAAATACCAACATGGAGACTGAGTTCTTACCATCAAACTCTGCTGACAACAGGCTTGTCATACATACATACATAACCCTTTGGAGACCCTTAAAGGGGGACTCAGGTGTTCCTGGTGTCCCCACCACTGATGAGCATCACTAGGCACATTACCTGTTGCTGGAGATGACATCCTTGGCCTGGGTGTGCTACCTGATGGAGGAACAGTGGTTGCTTTGGTAGCAGCCAAAGTAGTTGCAAGGCTCACAGTGGTCTTGCTGGTTGGAGAAGCTTCAGAAGGACTCGTAACAAGGATGTTTTCCTCAGTGACTTCACCAGGCCTTGCAGTGGTGAGGTCCACAGCTTCTCTGCTTTCACTAGTGGTATATACACGCTTAGTGGCAGCCAGCGTTTGAGCTCTATGGTCTTTCATAGTGCTGGCATCACCTGGGGTTGGTGGGTGACTGGCCGATGTTGTCAGCACAGGTTTCACCGTGGTCCGTACAACCACAGGGATGATGATGCTGTGGTTTGTAGCACTCAGTGAGGGGGTATGGGGTGCCTCTGTTGGCCCAGGCTGTGGGGCATCACTGGCTGTGGTAAGCAGCGGCGTTGCCTTCCCAGAGCTGCCCCCCTGGGCGGTGGTGACTTCGGGTGAGGTGGTCTCTGTTACTGTCACGGGAGCAGAAACAGACACGATGTGTCCACCAAGCTGCTCCATAGGTGCTGTAGGAAGAAGAGACCCGGTGGAGGTGAAGGTGGAGCTGTCTTGGGGTTGGTGCGTGACAATGTGCATTTTGGTCTCTCTGTGTGAGCTCCCAGCCACGGCAGCTGTGGAGGGCACCCGCCTGACCACAGTCGTAGCTACAGAGGTGCTTGTTTGATTGCTATCATTGGACTGTGAGACCGATGATGACGATGAAAACAGAGGCAATAAAGATGCTAATGAATAAGATGGGGAAAGCAATGAGGAAGTGGGCAAGGAGGATGACAAAGCCTGCACAGGGGGTGAAGATGCCATTACAGAGGACAAGAGTGGCTCAGATGACTCTGATGATGTAAACAGATAATTTGGTGCTGGTGTTGATGACAGTGAGTGATGCAGAGATGACAGTGAGGAAGAGACTGGAAATGGTGATGAAGATATAGATGACCTGCCAGTGGTCAACAAGCCAGAGTCAGTGTTGAAGAGAGTTGTATGTTGTACACTGCCTGCAGAAGCATAAGTCAACTCTTTGGAAGAGTGTACCAGCAACGGCTCTGTAGATGGTTCAACAAAACTGCCTTCACTGGATACATTGCTCCTCCTGTCCTGTGCCACAGAAGATTTTGATGGATCAGAAGGGTTGGAAATTTCAGGAAAAAAAGTGGAACTTTCTGAGGAGTCAGCAGAGGTGCTGCTATTTGAGATAGACAGGAGGGTCCTTTCTCCTCCTCTGGTATATGTGGTTGAAATGTATGTGCCATCCGTATGAGAAACCGAGGTCCTTTTCTCAGCATCGATGCTATTGACTGGCTGATGGCTACTTGAAAAGCCTGGAGTAAAAGAACAAAATATATTAGAAAGGTGGAGTAGTATGAAAGTATTTTGATGTAATATTAAAATAATTTGCTAATTACATAAAATGTTCTTGTCTGTGAACTGGCCCATGCTCTTCAAAAAATTTAGAGGGCCATCCAAACATAGGTATTGAATTACGAGCCTGCATTTAATTGATTCTAAAATGGTGAACTCAGACAGCCACAAGGCTCCTTCGAAATGCAGGTTTCTAAAACACTGTCCTTCCAGTACTGATTTTCTAATGTGATTGAGCGTTTATCATTCCATGATATTTTGTGGCAAGCTAAGCAGGAAAACATATCTGTTCTCTTTATCACTTGAAATTTATGAAACTCATATTCTCTCCTTCTTATCCTCAACTCCCAGCTAAAGAATGTCCATCTTCTTCTGCTGATTTGTTTTGAGATACAGTGATCTTCTTGCCTCTGCAAATGAATTTATTACATTATGTTACTTTGCAGCTTATCATGAACTCACTGATTGAAAACTCCAGTCAGGAAATCCTAAATTATTACCACATTGGTCTGCAAAAAATTCAGATTATCTACTATAAAAGGTGCAGTCCATTTCAGGATGTACAGCTAAGTTCAGCAATCCCTAAAAATAAAAAATAGGGTATTGAAAATTTGATTTAATTCTACAATTAATTTAGGCCATCATGAAACACTTGAAAGTATCACCCAAAAGAAACCAGTTAGGATGCAAAAAAATAATGAGGACATCAAAACAGGAGAGTTTCCCTGCTCAGGTTCATGGCTTCACTTCTGGAATGATTCCTAGCTAGAGAGGTCTGGTTTTGAGTCCTTTGGTAAAAGCTTTCCCCTGAGTGAACCATCAGGTGGCATTGCATGTACTGATGAATGACAATTTTGCATACAACATAGATAAATGCAGGGCAACATGAACATCCCCCCACCTCAAATGTACACTGGGTGTACACTCACTAACTTACTTGTGAGATCGCTTTGGACAGAAGAGTAAGTGGGTATCTTGGAAGAACGTGTGAAGAGCGTCTCCGTCGCAAACCCCCTGCTGGTGGAGGCATTGACTGTTCCACTCTGCTCCGCTGACACCGTCTGAGCCGGCGCTGGAGAGCTGTCAGTTTCGGCATAGGAAGCAGAGCTCCCCGTGCCACCAGCCAACACATCATCCGTCACTGAGTGCAGTGTCCTCTCTCCATCCCCAGCAGACCTGGATGAACTGTACACAGGATCAGTGATGGGGCTGGGCATCCTTTCCTCGGCACTCAAGCTGCTTAGGGAGTGATGGCTGCTGGCCATGGCTGGAATAGGATCAAAAAGCAGGCATCTGATTTTTATCATCTCAGAGTAGATAGCACTTGTGAGTTCTACAATAATTCTGCTTGGAAACACAGATTAATAAAATTGCACAGATCAAGATTAAATACAGATTAAGAAGATCTCACATATATATCACCTTAAATGTGGATTTCATACAAAAAGCTTACTCTAAAGAAAGAGAGAGACAATCGGTACCATTAGAGTCATAATGGCATATAATTATCACTACAACCCAGGCAGGTAGTGGATGTGTCCTGCAGGAGGTAGTTACACATCTCAATCCTGAGATGTTTTCGTTAAGCATCAACAGCTGCAGATATACAATACCAAGCAGCAGAATCACCACTGCTTATAAATCCTCATCACGATACCCACAAAACTCTGACATGTTTGTGGTCGTATCAACCCCATGGAAGAGGGGAGTGGAGGGGCAGTACTGTGTTTTCTATTTCAAACTCCCTCCCAGAGTTCAATAAAACTCACCTGAAGGTACACGGGTAGCTGAGAAGTAGGTGGAGACCCTGGATGAAAGGGTGACCTTGGCCTCTGGATAGCCTGCTTGGCTGGATGTGAAGTGTCCTGCTCCAGGCCACACTGTGGAAGATGGGAGGAAGCTAGTACGGGGCTCCCTGGCCATGTCTGCATGAGACATGGGGCTTTCTGCTGCTGTGCTCCACCTGCCACGGTTAGCTACAGCCTGAGATGTCCCCTCCTTGTGGCTGGAGAGTGTGGTTGAGACATATACAGTCTCAGTAGGAGCACCAGAAACTCTTCTCCCTCCCTCTGGAACTGCAAATCAGATATACACATAGATTTATATTAAAACGCTTATTTTGCATATTAATAATACCTTTGAGCACTCTACAGGGACTAAAATCTGAATATGTCGATCCCCACAGTGGAGGTGTTACTTGGTGACCAGCATGACTTATTTGCTAAGTGGGGTTTTCAGGCAGTCTGTACTTTCCCCCTTTACTTTTCTGGTATTTTTATACCAGCAAAATGAAACAGATTGGGGTGCATGGTGTTTCTGGAGGAGAATGGTGGCAGGAATGTAGGAACTAGTCTTAAAGGTTGTGCAGAAAATTCCCTTGGGCAGATCAGTAGCTTTCATACCTGCTCTGGTGGGACAGAGCAGAGCTGAGCTGAACAGAACAGAGCTGAGGCTGAAACACACGATAACTGGGATATGAGGAATGGCAAAAGGTCCACCAATTCATTGCCATGTCTCATGCCAGGCTTCTCTGGTTTGAGTGCTCAGGTCAAGGCTACATGACAGCTTTCAAATATGGCCCAGAAGAGCTGCCTGGTTGTCTAGTTCCCAGCATAAGGAACACTGCCCCAAATGTCATGAGGCAAATAACTCACCAGCTATGCAATGCTCAAATGCCATTCACTATAAACCAGACTTACTAAAAAGGCAAATCTAGCTTAAAGCTAGACAACTCGGAAGCTCAGGAGGGTGGCAAGGAGCAGGGATGTCCTCAACAGCAAACCTGGAAATCACAAGACCCACCTGAAACACTTGGTGGAGGCAATGGCACTGAAGTGCTGGGAGAAAATGCAGGCAGTGGCTTTGTTGGAAGTTCAGCAAGTCCAGCACCACTCTGTGAAACACTGCTTTGCCTCCCAGGCTCTGTTGCTGATGAGGATGGTAGAAGAACCACACTGAAGGAGCTGGTGTGGGACGAAGCAGAAGCAGAGCTCCCTGCCATTTTGGATGTTGCATGGGTGTCTGACACAGGCACTGTGCTCCTCTCCCCACCGTTGGTGGGTGTCACTGAGCTAGGTGTACTGGTGAGAGGAGCATTGGGCAGGCGTCCTCCCGTTGCTAAGGTCCCTTCAGCTGAGAAAGAGCAAAGCAAAATAGAATTATACACCCTAAGCTATAAACAGGTGGGTGTGCTCTCTTCCACCACCACCCTTAGGCTGATGGCAGAGATGTAGCCTAACGGAGGAGCCAAACCTGGAGAAAACACTGTGAAGACATAACCCTTTCCTGTGCAAGAAGCTGCTGCTCATAGGAGAACAACTTGAAAAGGGCACCAGGAACAAGCTGCAGGAGCTCTATTGGCTTTGCTACCCTTCAGTGCTGCTCCAGCACTACAGTCCAGCCATGGGAACAGTACAGCTGCAGTGCCACTGTGGTGGGTGATGGGGGGTTACAGCAGCACCAAACTCCCTCGTACTCAAAACAAAGCATGGCAGGCTTGTATGGGATCAATAAATACTGTATCTGCATCGAGGCTGAGAGTCTGGAATGACTAGTGTTATGTCCTGCTTGTATACACACAGCCCACAGGGCAGTCTTGAAATTGTGCTGTCTCAGAAAGCACATCAAATCTCAAGGCCAGACTGCTCTTGCAGTAAGGCTGGTTGTTTTTTTCTGGTGACTAAATGTGAAAAGCAGCTAATGCACTTTTCTCTGGAAGTCAAAATTTTCTTCCATGATGACCAACACCACTGCCCAGCACTTTTTAGCGTGCCCCCACTCCTCCATTCAGAGCAGTCTTTAGAGGTCTATAGGAAGAAGCCCCATGGGTACAGTCAGAGCTCACCTGGGGAAATGCTTTCTGAAGCAGGTGGTGAGCCTGCGAGAAATGGGTCTGTGGATGACACAGTGGCACTTCTGCTACCACCACCCTGGGCTCCCAAAGCGGGCTGAGTATGGTCTGGAGAGCTGACGGTTCTGATATCAGTGGTGGAAATCTCTGTTGTTCGGGCCAGTCTGGTGCTGGATGGCAGAGACCTTAATGTTCTCCCTCCACCTTCGGCAGCTGTTGTGGAAGCAGAGGTACTGGTGGTAAGGAAATTGGTTCTTCTGTCTGTTGCCAGGATGCTGAATGATACATGGCTGCTTCCAGTAGCTAAGACGTGATAAAGAAATTATTTACGTTTTTACACATACAAAACTATAAATAAACAGATGAGCTTTCTTCCAGTAAAACCCAGAGGCAGCAAGTACATACACAAGTAGTAAATATGAAATCCAGAGAATCATCCAGAGAAAATAGGAAATTTCCAAAGACATTAATCCTTCCTACAGAAATTTGCCTTCTAAAATCATGGTTTGATGCTGAGAAAACTGCTATTATATAAAAACTGTTGAGCTATTAACACTGTGCACTTGATTTCACCATTATGTGCCTGAGTGCACTCCATGCTGCTAGAACAAATACTGTAACAACACAGAAAAGCCTGGAAATCAGTTCAGACAAGGCAGTACACTGAGCAGTGTGAAGGTCTTCAAGAAGGACTCTAAAGAAATGGGACTGGGGAATCAAACCCCTTCAGCACCCCAGTAGGCTCTTGAAATGAACAGTGACATGAAGGACCTCAGAGACTACATTGAAAAGTTGCCTCAAATTCATTGAGCTGGTGCAATTTCTGTGAAGCAGCATGGTCCAAGGGGTAGGACAGAAGGCAGCACTGAGGTCTGTCGCTGGGACTGCAGGGCATGATCTAATCCTTAGCTCTTTTGCCTGTTAAATGGAGATAGCAACTGAAGATAGCAAAAGAAGAATCATAATTTGAAAGTTAATTTTTCTTCTTGGCATAATGAACCTTTCCACATATGGGTGCTTTCTGTAAAAAACCCAAACTACATTATTTGGTCAAGCAAGAGCTGAAAAGGTTCAGACACAAAATTACACCATATCCTTTCAAACAACATATTCTGCACAGATTAAGAGTCAGGCAAGTGTGAGATACAGTAACAGTCCTCCTTTTAGTTACAAGTAAAATGGTATTTCACTTCTAACTTGAGCTCACCTAAGGAAGGACCTTCTGAAGGAGAGCGAGAGCGTGTTAGCACAGAGTCTGCCACCCGTTCGGTGAAATCTGTGATTTCTCTGGACCCATGCAATCCATAGGTCTCTTTCACAGAAGACGTGGACAAGGATCGGATCGTGCCCAAGGTCCTGTACATGCCACTAGTGGCTGTGGAGACTTCTGCTGTCCATCGGCTACTGCTGGTGGCAGATCTTGGGGACCTCCCACTGCTGCCTGTGGCCATGGCTGAAAAGAAAGTGCCAGTGGGAGAGGAAGCACGGGGGTTTTTGTTTGTTGTTGAGCTGTCAACTGGTTGGTGGCTGCTTCTGACACCTAAGATACAATAAAAGCAGTTTGATTTATGCATCTAGAACTAGACATCTGAGGGATTGTTTGTAAAGTGCACATTTCTATACTGTTTGTTGAGAAATTGAAATGACCAAGTTCTCAAGCTGGAAAAGGCACAGCTCTGGGAAGAGTTGAACCCTTCACATCCAAGCATATGTGGCTTAAAAAAAACCCCATGAAAATCTCAACTTGAAATCAGGTTTTTGAAGTGCAGGCTGAGCATAATACCCAGTTTATACATTTAAGCTGCCTTTGAGCCTGTTTAAAAGTTCAAGCTAAATCTAAAGGATGAGCTAAAACAGTCCTGACTTAGGTTTTCTAGTGACAGTCCAGAGAGCCAAGCTGCCATCTCAGTGGCGGGCTGACAGCACAGCTGTGGGGCCACTCAGGTCCGTGCAGGACAGGCCACAGCCTCACCCACAAGGTACTCAGAAAGACGCCTATGCCCTAGCCTCATGTTCAGTGCCGCCTGATTTATCCCATGTTTAGTAGGCATGCTGCCCAGGGCTCTCCCACACTGCAGCACTTGGGATGCTGGTATTTCACCAGCTCACCAGGAAGCAGGAGCTGCACTACAACTCACAGAGTGATGGGCTGAATTATGAATTAATAGTGAATCGTGGGGCAGAAATCATCTGGGACCACTCCAAGGGCATGGGGCAAGTCAGCACAGTTGTGGCTGTGGGGACTCTCAGAACACTGCCTCTCTTACAGATCAGCATGGCAGATGCAGTGCCAGATGATGGCTGCAAATCCCCAGCAAAAGTGTCTCTTGGTAGGGAGAATGTGCATGCACATATTTCTGACCGATGACTGCTTTTCCCAGCACAGGAGTTGCATTAGCAATGAGGACATTGATGGTTTTCCCTTTTTCACCCAAAAGCTGAGATGCACTCCCACCCTTCCCACCAGCCCCACTGTCAGCCCGACACAGCCAGTAATGAAAATATCCATGTATCCAATAACAACTGATGGACATATGTAAGAGAAAACAACACAGGTATATGAACTCTTGTCCAGCCCCAAAGCAGCCAGCTTTCAGACTAACAAATTTACCTCTGAAAGTACTTTCGGAGGCAGAGAAGGAGCTTGTGAGTGAAGACTCCCTGGGAGGCACCCGGAGATCAGAGGTTTCCTGTGAGCCACTAGGATGGTGTGTCCTGGCCCCTGAGGAGGAGAATGTCTCCCCTGAAGAGCTGGTGGGGTTGGTGGTATTGGCAGATCCCTCTGTCGTGCCAGCTGTGTGGCCATTTGTGGGGTACCCTGGTGAGCCTGCTGCCATGCTTGGCATGTCAGCATCATGGGTGTCCGAGCGCAGCATTGCCTCTTCTGCAGCTGGGATGCTCTTGGGTTCATAATTGTTGCTAAAGGCTAAAAAATCGAAGAAAAGAACTATAAAGCTGCATGCACATAAATGAGAACAGCTGGGTAGGTTTCATCCTGCTACGATGTAGACAGTAGATGTAGCTAATGTATGTGTGAATATTCTATATGGAAATATTTCATACTGGGAAATCATTAAGACAGGGAAAAAATTGTCTCTATATAGGAACTGCTGAAATTATTGCTTGCAAAATTCAACTGAAAGTTTTCAAGGAAAATCTATCCTTTTCTTCCAAAAAGAATAATATTTATCCATACTTTCATTTCTGTGAAATGTTTTAAAATGTACAGAATGTGCCAAATACAATATTATTCCTCCTTTCTTTAAAATAAAAAGGATGTATTTTGTTTATAAAGGATCCTTAAATAATGTTCTGAGTTATATGGCTAGCTATCAAAACTCACCTGAAGAAGTGCTTTCCAAAGCAGACGGTGAGCCCATGAGTGACAAGCCTGTGGCCCCTCTGCCACCACCACCCTGGCCTCCCAGAGACTGGCTCTGAGCTGAAGAGCTGGTCATTTCAGTACCAGAGGTGGAAATCTCTGCTGCATCAGCCAGCCTGGTGCTGGCTGGCAGAGACCTTAACATCCTCCATCCACCCTTGGTGTCTGTTGTGGAAATGGAGGTGCTGGTGGTGAGGAAGTCTGAAATTCTCCTCTCCGTGGCTGAGCTATTGGATAGCTGGTAGCTGCTTCCAATGGCTACAATACAATAATAAAAAAAGATTCATATCATACATGTGAAATTATAAACAGATGGATGCATTATCTTCCCAGATGCTTAGAGCGCACATACAGATATTAAAACATAGGAAGTTTTCAATCTGGACAAAGTACTCTTCTGGAAAACCATGAATCCCCTCACTGCAGGAAGACCTTGCATAAAACCCAGGGCTTGCTGCCAGGACAGCACAGCTTCATGAGAGGTGGCGTAGCTCGGCCAGCGGGAAACCCCATGGGATAAGGACTGCAGGGACTTGACTTTAAATCCCACCTGGTGGAAATCAGTCCAGGCACTCTTAATGTCTTTTTGTAGCTTGAACACAGCATCAAACAGCAAAGGGGAGAAATCTGAGCATGACCACATTCCTGCATGAGCCTGCAGCTCAATTCACATCCCAGGGCTTAACAGGACACAGGGAAAAATGTTTAAGGAAGCACAAAATAGGGTAAAACAACAAACCATAGACTAACCAAGCTCATCCACATCAGTGCTTTCCAAAGCCGGGTGAGAAGGGGCAAACCCATGCTCTGTGGAGGGCCTGGGGAAATGTTCTTGTGCCAGGGCCAGCAAAGAGTTTGCCAAGGTCAAGGGCTGAGCTGCTGAGCCAGGTGCTAGCCTTTGGGTACTGGACCTCAGGTTTTCTGCAGCCCTGATGCTGCTCCCAGCAGCTGTGACAGAGGAAGACATGTCAGGGTGAGAACGCTGGAGTTGTGTTTGCTCCTGGCAAGCCCCACACATGGAATAAGGAGCTGGCAACACTTGAGGTTTTCAATCAGTTCATGTGGAGTGGGGTAAAGCCTCCAGTTTTGAGAGCTCCAGGAACTAGTTGCAAGCAAAGCAAGCAAGGGGAAGCCACGAAGACCAGGGATCTCATGTTTGCTGTCCTGTATGGGTTGTTGAAACAGAGGCATCTCTTCCTGTCTAGCCGAGAGCAAATTCCCCCAGCATGGTCATGAGTATGGGTTACCAACTTCATGCAGCACTCAGGTGGAACACACAGCTCAGGTGGGGCTGGGACCTCAGTTTTGCTCTGCAGCTGACACTGAACCAGCTGAGATATTTCACAGTTGCAGATGCCCACCCTGCAGAAAACACAATAATAAGGTCCAAAGGCCTTTTTTATGCTTAATAGAAGTTTTGGACCAAATTATGTTTTCTGTTGTTTTTTCCTGCTTTCAGCAGGAAATTTCAGCTAACCATCCAAATAATAACAAACAGAATATAATCAAAACTCAGCATCTTCTCTGTTTCAAGAAAATAAAAGCTATATAAAGGCTTTTTAAAGGTATAAACAAAGTCTGTGGGCCAGCAAAGCTCACCTCTGAAAGTGCTGTCCATGGCAGGCAATGCTGTGCGTGAGGGACTTGTGGAGTTTCCCATGATATTCCTGGGGTGTAGCATGACATTGTTTGCAACAGCCTGGCTACTGGCTTCTGGGGAGGACTGGGGCTGTCCTGGAGAGTCAGGGAAGGGAGTGCTTGGGACGGGCAGCAGTGTCCCTCCACTGTTCCCCAAGGGGCTTGGTGAAGTGGCTGCGGTGCCTACAGGAGGGCTACCAGATGGCTCCTTGCCTATCCAGCTGCTCAGCAGTTGCAAGGCATCACTGGTGCCTGCAAGACAATGGGGGAAAGCAAATGAGTGCATAGAGAAAGGCTGAACTGCCCACCCAGCATCCTGCATTGCCATTCTCTGCCTACCCCCCCCAGTCAGGGGTCCCCTTGCCCGTACTCTCCTACAACTTTATTTTTGGGAGCTGCACCAAGTAATTCACAATTTTCAAGACTAAGAGAAGCCACACAGATCTTTCTCTCCACTCTCATTCATGAAGCAAGCCAGAAAACTGCCCTGAGCACATGGTGAGGATGGAGGGACAGATCCAGTGCACAATGCTCTAGCAATGCAAGGGGAGCCAGGCTTAACCGATGCCCAGTTTCTCCAGGTAAAAGCATCCACCTTGTTCCCAGGCTGAACTGGGATGGCTCACCTGAGTGATGAGTCTCTGCAGATGAAGGCAGCATTGCTGTCATGGTATGGTCAAACCCCGCCACATGCCAGGCCCCACGGGGCTCATCCAGCATCCTCTCAACTGAATCAGTGCTGATGGCTGCCAAAACTGTACTCTCAGCAGCTGCTGGGGTGCTGGCAGAACCCAGAGCCCTCCTGTCTCTCTCCAGGCTGCCCACAGCATGACGATGGCTTCCAGCAGCTGGAAAGCAATGCAGAGAGGGTCATGCTCTTTACTGTGAGAGTGATAAGGCACTGGAAGAGGTTGCCCAGAGAAGCTGTGTCTGCCCCATCCCTGGAAGTGTTCCAGGCCAGGTTGAACAGGGCTTTGAGCAACCTGGTCAGTGGAAATGGGGTTGGGACTGGATAAGCTTTGAGGCCCCTTCCAACCCAAACCATTCCATGATTTCCCCTGGAAAACTTATTTTGTCTCTGCTGATGTGGCAGCAACATCACTCACAGTGGTACCCACCCCTACCATACACAATAGATAGAGTCATAGTTGCATCCCCTGTGTTTCCCCTGTTTAACACTGAGCACACTGCAGCAGGGACTGCTAGGAACAGAGGCTTTCTGTCACAAACAAATACCAGTATTTCAAAATTCGTCTTCGTTTGTGCGTGGCAAAAGAAACCCAGATTTAAAACACAAATAAAAAAACCCAAAACAAATAAAAAACAAAACAAACAAATAAAAAAAAACCCCAAAATATTAAAAATGCAGAAGGCAATAAGGAGTTCATGGCAGGACAACCAGCAGCTGGCACCCTGGGCACCTCCACACTTTTGTCCCTAAGCAGGAAAAAAAAAGAGGAATTATGAAATTAAATAAAACCTCTGTGCTCCTATCTCAGCAAGACACATTTCATCCAGGGATATTGAGAAAAGAAATGAAGTGGGAACAGGGGAATTAGCACAGCCTTGCTGTCCTGGTGTGGGAAAAAGGTTTTGATTTAGTGCATGCTTAAAAAAGTACATTGGTTTATTCATGACCCCAGTCCCACCAATGTGGTGAAGATTATGAACAAGTCCAAAGGTAAGTGTTCACTTGCAGGATTTGCACACGAGGACCTCAGCTACAAATCATGATGCAGCTGGTCAGATATTTTTAACCCAGGCACTTATAAGCTAGGTTGGGTTCACGATGGGATTCAGCTCCTCCTGGAAAGAGGCATGGGGAGCTGGGGGTCTCCACTCTGCATGCAGCCTTCGACCTCCGTGGATGGGCAGGACTTCTGAGGGTGCTGCTGGGTGTTGAATAATGACAGCAGCATCTCCCAAGAATCGCTTTCATCATAACATTCAAAAAAATCAGTTTTGAATTTCTTCCAGAAATCTGAATTCCTAGCACTGGGGATGGGAATATTTCCTAACCCCATGGCTATGCTCGGACCATGGGCTGAGTATGGCAAACAGGGACTCTGGCATCAATAAAACTTACCACAACGATGGCTGTAGGCAGGCAGGTGTGTTGCTGTCCCAGCAGATGGACTCTCTGGGGTTCCTGCTCCCAGTGGGGTGATATCCCCACTTCTGGTGTGGGGACCAATATGCCCCATGACCCTATTCACTGCTGGCACCATATTGTGCCTGGCAGGCAGTGATGCATGCTCCCTGCTCCCAGCCAGCGTTGTCATCAGCTCCACGTTGTCCATGAGGGCACCAGAAGTCCCTATCTCTGTATATGAGCTTCTGCTTGCCTGATGGCTACTGTCAATGACTGAAAGGAAAAACAAGAAAAAAATCAAAATCCCATCACCAGTGCTGGACTTGTAGGCACGGCGAGCTGCAGTAACACTACGGCCAAGCCCTGATCTCATTTACACTAGAGAAAATTCTGCATAATCAAAACACAGACATGAAATTTATTTTGGATTCACACCAGTGGAAATCTGTTTGGCCTGTGGGGACAAATGCTGAAACCTACCTTTGTGCATAAGATTAATTCAGTTCACACCCCCATGCTTTCTGTGTGTTACGAGAAATAAATCTTTAAAGGAGCAAAAAGAAGGTCTTAAATCTTTTAGGGAGATAGGTACAATGTAGAGTTGTCCAGGTTTCAGCTGGGACAGAGTTAATTTTCTTCGTAATAGCTAGTGCAGTGCTGTGTTTTGGCTTTAGTCAGAGGACAACGCTGATAACATACCAATGTTTTAGCTATTGCTCAGTAGCATTTACCCTTGTCAAGGACTTTTCAGTCTTTCATGCTTTGCCAGTGAGAAGGAGCACAAGAAGCTGGGAGGAAGCAGGACACCTGACCCAAACTAGCCAAAGGGGTATTCCATACCACAGCACATCATGTCTGGTATATAAACTGTTGAGAGTAACCCAGAAGGGACTGATCGATGCTCAGATTGGGCTGGGTATCAGTCAATGGGTGATGAGCAATTTGTGCATCACTTGCTTTTTTAATTATTTTTCTTAGGGCTTATTCTTCTCTCATGCTTGCTCCTTTTCCTTACTATTATTATTTCTTGTTATTATATTTTACTTTATTTCACCTATTAAACTGTTCTTATCTCAGCCTACAGGCTTTACTTTTTTTTTTCCAGTTCTCCTCCCCATCCCACTTGGGGTGGATGGAAGGAGTGGGTGGCTGCATGACACTTGGTTGCCCAGCTGGGGTTAAACCACGACAGGAGACAATGGGAAGAGTGTGTATGTCTCCAAAGCTAATGGCTGGCTGGAGCCCAGCACAGCTCGTGTGCCCCATCCCAAGGGCGTAATGGGAGTGGGGAGGGCCCCACAGCTCTTCCGCTCTCTCTTTCAGCCAGCACTTGTGGGATGCCTAACTTTAAATCCCATGACCGCCAGTTAGGTAGCATGAAGCTGGCAAAGAACTGCAGGGCAAACAGGACTGTTAGCATAACCCATCCAGCCACCACCAGGCATCAGGACAGGAGGGATCAATGTATGAAGTGGATTACACTGGCCATCCAGGTGCTGAAACATCCCAAAGTGATGGACATTTTGGCATATTTGGCATTATGACATTAAGATAAGACATTTTAGAACATGAGAAACTAGATAGAGAAGAATTTTGTACATCTGCAGGTCCATTTTCTGGGAGCAAACATGGCCAGAGCACCTGTTCCATTCTAAAAGTGTTTGGGTCTCCTCTCGTGCTCCTGCTACAAGGCTGCTCCAAGCTCCCATCTCTCCCATCATCCAGAATAATTTTCTCATTTCATTAGAAAATGCATGAACACACTTACGGAATAAATGTTGGTTGCTAAGCCAGCATTACCCTTTAGTTTAGCTATTCTCCTCCCTGTGCTTCATCCCCACCATGCCGATGACTAACAATAGCAATCTCATCCCCTCTTTGCACAAGGTTCTTCTGCATTTCTACCATCTGCTGTATCTCATGGACCCAAAAATTACTTCTTCCAGGGATGCCAATAGGCGTTACATGCTTTATAGGATCCCCAAAAGTGCACAGATGGCTGTGTGCATCTCTAGAATAGAAACATATTCCCAAATAGAGCCCTAAGCAAGGACTGAAAACATTACTCAGTAGACAGCTTCTTGGCTTGCTCATTAACGCTGACCACTGGCAGCAGCAGTGGGACTCAGTGAGATAGTTGTGGCTTTAGATTTGGGCCTGCCTGGAGCAGAGCATCTAGTGACAGCTGCTCTGAGTGGTTCCACTGAGATTTGCTGCGGGAGTTGGGTTTTCCAGCCCACAGTATCAGGCAGGGCTGCACCAGGATTTCCCTGCACGTCAGTCATGAAAACAAGGAACAGCCATCCCCGCCCAACATTACAGCCCCCAGGCGTGGCTGGCACTGAAGCCTCAGATGCTCTTCAAAGCCCACAAGTCAAAGCAAGTCCAAATCACAGTGGAATCACCTGAAACAGCAAAATCCCAGTTTTGCCCAAGTTTCATATAACCAAAACACAATCTCCAGGCTGGAATAGCCCTGGGACCACTCCACTTGTTGAGCAGGCAGAATGGGAGCCTGGCTAGGGAAACTGAAAAAGGTCTGAAGCCTCTCAGGAAACTGAGAAAAGTCATATATTTTGGGAGGCGAACTTGCCCCACTTTGCAACTTTGAGATCCAACAGGCTATGTGGAGCCTGTCACACACATGGCAACTCTGAACAGGGCTGCTGACGGTACACAAGCAGCATCTAAAGGCACCACTCAGACTGACCAAAACTCCAGTGTTGAAGGTTAAGCCTTGCATGCCTGTCTTTGGCCTCCAAGCACTTTCTGTAAGAAAGCTGTGCCTCAGAGAAACATCCATGGGACACCTACTCCTCCTTGCCTTGCATGTCTCCTTTGGGGTTGCTGTACCTGCCATGCCAGAGGTGGCAGCTTCAGGTGTGGTCTCCTCTATCCATACAAAATAGCTTCAAAGGGAACTCAGCAAGAAAAAAGATACATACAGATGGGGCAGATTGCACTTCATCCTGGGACTCTGAGCATCAGGAGGCCTAAGGAGACAAGAGCTTCAGTGGAGCAGGGCCCCTTGGGTGCTTTTATTGACAGCCCTAGCCAAGGCTGTGATGCCAGCCTCACCAAGCACACCAAGCAGACGCTGCCATCTGGAGCCTGCTGTGCGCCACCTCCTGTCCCATCTAACAAGCTGCTTGTCACCATTTGGATGAGGGGATGTGAAGTTGCAGGGGACGCTTACCACACTCATTTCCAAGCCAATATCCAGCCTGTAATTGTAGCCCACAAGTCCATTTATAGCAGCCCCAAAAAATTCGGGGGTGCTGGAGGGTGGCGCATTGAATTTCTCTCCTTTCCTCTCTTGCTAAAAGCTTTCAGCTGTGCAACCCATGCTTACTGTGCCTCAGCAGCCAGAAGAAAGAAGGCAAAGCAGCAGATGCTCAAAGAAATGCTTAGGGGATGAGTATAGACAGAGGAAAATTTGCTTTCTTGTGTTTCCAAGTCATTTGTCAACAAGGGTTCCAGCAAGGCACACTAAAATATATAGCGGGGCACCACAGCAAGGCATTTAATTGCCACTTCTTAAAAATAACCCTGGAAATGCCAGGAGGCAGTGCCTTCAGCTATGAACCTTGATTGAATGCAACCAATTCAAAAGCAAAGTGATGCTGGTTGCTTATCTGGTTGTTGTTCACCCTACAAATCCACCTTGAAGTTTTCTCTATCCTCTTTCGGCTTTGCAGAGCTTTTGGGAATAAACCAAAAGAAAAACCCTTCCCCTTATCATGGGCACCAGCAAACCTGGCTTCGAGTGCAGCCAGAAAGTGGATGGGCTGAATAAGAAGGTATTATTTACACAGGCTTGTTAGAGTCATCTGGCGTATTTAACTCTGCCGTGCAAGGTATTCCAGGTCCTAAGGCAGGGAGGAAAGCCTTGTGTTAGCACAGGCTCAAGTCCCCTTTTCGGTAAGCGCAGAGCAGGAGCTGTGCTCAACAATCAAACCCACAGCGTGTAGTAAGGAAACCTGAAAACAATCAGGCTGCTCAACAAAATAGACATGAAACCTCAGCTCATCACACCACCATCAAGCCTGCCAGAAGTGCAAGACAACTGCAGTCTCCTCTGACCTGCCTACAGAAATAAGGCTTCAAAGAAAACCCTGTTGGAGCAGATGGATCAGATGCAAACATCGTGCAAAAAAAAAATACATGTGGGACCATCTGGCCTCCCCTGATGCATTAAAGGTTTAAAGCAGAGTGGCCCTTTAGCTCAGGTACTGATTTGTCACTAATAACTTTGCCACAGCCTAAGCTGGCAACTGCTTTCTACGGTTTAACTCCATGCAGCCGCAGCCATTGAGAAACATTTGACTTCTAGCACAAAACTCTCCTGCCACCCACCGCACCGGTGTTTTTCTTCTCAGTTAAAACTAGCAGCAATGCTCACCAGATAGGTCGAGGCTTGGACTTACTTTTTCCCTCACAAGCATAACAAGCCCGCGGCTTGCAGGGAGCTGAGTTATAATGCAGCCAGGACAAACAGATCAAGTTCCAGCTGATTTCTCGAGGTATTGGGCTTGCTCCTGGCAGCCCAGCTGGATGTCTACCTTGTGAGACTCCTGAAAAATCCCCTTTGGACCAGCCATTTTCTGTCTCCATCCCTGGGTACAACACTGGCATTGCCTTGGCCAGGAGGAGGCTGCTGCTGGGGCAATGTCACGGTGATGCTCAAGGCTCAACCGTGGGACAGCACAACACCCCAACACAATACTGCTAGTTTGCAGCAGCAGCTGTGGTCGCTCGTGGACGTTTCAGGACAGGGAGTGAGAAGGAATGTATCTCGCTAATGCCAGGGGAGAAGGATCTCTGCAGACAGCATTTGGCAGGAGTAGTGCAGCGAGCCCGGGCTCCCCATGAGCCATCCCAGCACCACTGCTTTCCTGCAGAAGGTATTTTTCTCCTCAATGGGCAGAAAAATACTCTCCTGACTGGGGAACACAAATTTAATCTGTGTTTGCACACCAGCAAAACCAAGAGTGGTTGCTTGGCTGCCCAGAGCAGCCCTTCACACCACAGCAGTCCCTCCTGAGGAGAGCAGCCATTCCCTGGAGACCATTCCTCCTACAGCTGCCCATGCAGCGGCTGCTTTGCCAGGGCTACAGCCATCCCGGGAGCATCCCATGCTGAGCGGAGCACGAGTGAAGAGAAAGCAGGCTCCTCCCGAGGACAGGCAGCTGTAATTATAAAGCCCACATCTGTTAACGTTGCATAATCTTAACATCATCCAAGGCTCACGGAGGGAAAAATCTCATCTCAAC